TCCCAGGGTCCTGGGATCGAGCCCCGCATCGGGCTCCCTGCTCAGCGGGAGGCCTGCTTCTCCCTCTTCCACTCCCCCTGCTTGTGTTCCCTCTCTCGCTGTGTCTCTCTCTGTCAAAAAAAATAAATAAAATCTTTAAAAAAAAAAGAGAGAGAAGCCTGCGGTTGAGCCCCCTTGTAGCACTCAGTGGAGCAGGACGCAGGAAGGGATGTGGCCGGTCAGCCGTTGCCGGGCTGAAGATTGTGCTCTTGAAGTGGTGCATTCCCCGGCCCGTGCTCTGGCCTCCTCGCTCTCATTGCCTCCAGCCCTCGCCCGGCACCCTTTCTGTCCCTTGGGAGAATGCGGGAAAGCATGCACACGCCTCTTTCTGCCTCGCGCCTGCCTGCCTCCTGAATACCATTGGTAGAAACAAAACTCAGCCTTGCAAGTAAAGACTCATTGTTTGGCGGTTCTCGTTTCTTTGCGCGCTGGGTGCATTTTCGTGGGTTGGTTCTGGATCTGTTTGCATGCCTCTGCGTGCGGCTCTGTGCTGGTCCTCGACCGCAGAGTAAGTGTTGCCTTGTGCTGCGTTTCAGACTACTCCAAAGGATTCGGCGGAAAATACGGGGTGCAGAAGGATCGGATGGATAAGGTGAGTATTTCCAATCCAGGGCCGAGTGTTTTCTGTGGATGGGTTTGGGAATACACGGAGCTCTTGCTGTGTGCTGCTCCGGGGATGGTCTCCAGTGGGTGTCGGCTCACGTGTTCAGAAGGACAGACCCTGGAGCGGTGCTTCCCGTGTGCCAGGCCTTGCCTCGCATGCCAGGGGTGTCCTGTCCTGGGCCGTGCACAGCTGCGCCGTGAGGCAGATACTGTCCTTGCCTGTCCATAGTCGGGCGTGTGGCCGGGCCACTGTTGGAACCCGGGCATTAGACTCCAGGCCAACGTGACAGCCCAAGAGCGTGTGGCTCTCTGAATTCAGCTTAGTGGTAAACCAAATTGGAAATTGGGTTCCTTGGTCACACGGGCCACGGAAGAAGAGCTCCTGGCCACGCGTGAGTGCTGGTTCCACGTTGGAGCACGCAGCCCCGGAACGTCGGCCTCCTGCGGAAGGCCCACGGCACAGTGTGTGTCTAGGGTCAGAGCCTGGGCGCTGGGCCGCCTCCTACAGCGTTCCGCTCGAGATACCCCGTTCCTCTTGCCAGGGACTTTGTCCCTCCCGACGGCTTCCTAGCCTTGGCAGCTCGTTCTTAAGCGCGGTCGGATGGCCTTTCTAGCTTGCAGCCCAGCTACGTCAGTGTGGTGGGCTTACGAGCTCCACGCTGGGGCCTGGGAGCGGCTCCGTCCCCTCAGTTCAGCTGAACAAAGTCAAGCCGTCCCGCCCAGTCCTGGGCCTGGCCCCTGGTCACTGAAGACAGGGCTGGTCCTCCTGCAGTCCTGCTCCATGGGGCTCACAGCTGGCCACACAGACATCGTCACCCGGGGGACTCTGCCACGTGACCATGTGTGGGCCCCGGGAGTGAGTGGCAGGGCACAGGCTTGGAACGGGGTGGGGACTACCCGGGTTCCCGTAAATGTGCGCAAGGGGTTCAGAGCCAGGCGGTGACATGAGGTTGTCCCTAGAGAGGTGGGTCCCTGGGACTTGGGTCTGCAGTAGTCCCTGGGGTGATGGAAATGGGTGAGAGGTGTCCTGCAGGCTGGACCAGGGGACAGGGAGCAGAGTCCATGTTGAGGAGTAGCAGCAGAGGGAGAGGATTCTGGTCAGGAAGGAGGAGGGAGGACGGGGTGTTGGGGAGACAGCACAGCTGGGACAGAAGCCCCCAGGGTGGTGGCAGAGACGACCTCAAGCAGCATAGTGCGCTGGAGAACTGGCTGGACGAGGCCGTCACCCCTTGGAGCAGCGGGGAGCAATCCAGAGGGTGCAGACACCCTCTTCGCTCAAGGCTGCGGGGCGGGGGGGACGTCCGAGACTGTTCTGGAAAGAGGCGTGGCAGACACGGGCAGTTTGGGCGGGCGTCTGGGAAGGGGCAGAGGGTTTGTTGAGGGCAGCCCAGCAGCTGCACTTGGAGGTGAGGCAGGGATGGCTCAGTGACCCCTGGGTGTGCAGGTGCCGGGACTGGATGCCGCTGGGTTGGAAGGGCAGGTGGGGGGCGGGGGGAGTGGGCTGGGTCGCGTCCCCTGTGCTGCCCGTGCTGCACCCCTCAGCTTCACGTGGCCAGTGAGCTTCAACTGCTCGCCTCCTTTGGGCCCCCTTCCTCCTTGTTCTGTGTGGCAGAAAAGCAGCTGTGTCCTGAGCCCCAAACATGTTTCTCTGGGAGGTGTTTACTCACGGGGAAACTGAGGATGGCCGGAGGGCCTGTGAGCCTGTCTGTGTGCATCTGAGTCCGCCTCTGGATGGACGGTCATCACTGTGCCTTTGCTGTGACAGAGTTGGGTCCTCTACAGAACGGGAAGCGGGGATCTCGCGCATCAGGCCCCGTGAGGCTCCAGCGTGACCCAGGGTGTTGTCCCTGGCAGAGCAGAGGCATCGGGGTCCCTGCAAACACGCAAGCCTCTCTCGGTGGCCGGGAGGGGCGGGGCTTGAGCGCATCGTCGGGTTATGATTGCACGAATGCCGATACGTATTTTGGGGGCGAGGGGTCAGAGCAGTTTTAGCAAGTATGGGACAAAGCGACGGGTTTCCCATACACCCCTGCTTTCCCTCGTGCACGGCCAGCCCCTCCTACTACCAGTTACCAGCACCGCCCCCCCGGGGGATGCGCTCGTTACAGCCCAGGAGCCTGTGCGGACACGTGTTCATCGCGCAGTGTCCTTAGGTGACGCCAGGCTTCGCTCTTGGTGTCGTACGTTGCATGGGTCTGGGCAGATGCGTGACGACACGTCCCCTCCGGTGCGGCATCACACGGGGTAGTCTTACCGCCCTGATGCCCTTGTGCGTGGGCAGAGAGGCGGAGGTGAGACCTCTGGGCGCTCTCGGCTCTTTTGGAAGCTGCAGGGCAGTTTCCCACGTTCGGGTGAGGTAGGAGCCCTCGCAGGCTGAGGGGGAAGGAAGGCGCTCCCCTGATTCTCCCGCTTCTGTCTTGGTAGAACGCTTCCACGTTCGAGGACGTTGCCCAGGTGGCCCCTGCTTATCAGAAGACCATCCCCGTCGAGGCGGGTAAGTCGTGGCCGACCCCAGTGCCGCGGTTTTCCCAGGACGAACTTCTGCGCCGTGGGTGTTCCCGCCGTGGGCACAGCGCGGGCTGGGAGCGACAGAGAGCGCCCTTGTTCTGCTCACTCGGGGAGGGGGTTTTGCCGTGCTTGACGGAAGGCCTGCGTGTCCCCGCGGATGCTCGGAGGCTCCTTTCGGACGCAGCGTGTTGCAGTGCTCTGCCAGTGGGGGTCTGTGTGTGTGGGGGGGTGCCTCCCAAAGCAGAGCTGGGCCAGCCACCCATCTGCAGGGGCCCCCCTCACTGCCAGGGACCAGGTTCTGGGAGGTTCTAGTGCGTGCAGACGCCCCCGGCTGGCCAGTCGGCCGCAGCCGTGATGTGAGGAGCGTGTTGCTCGCTTGTGCAGAAGCCGAAGTAGACGCTCTCGCCTTTTCTCTCTCTCTGGTCCCTGCGCCAGGCTGCTCCCAGCCTGTCTTCAGAGCTGGCTGCCACCAGAGAAGGTGTCTTCTCCCGCCTCAGTCGCGTGGCCGCACCCTGAGGAGCACTGCTGAGTTGGGGGAAATGTATAGAAAGTGGTAAATGGACGGTAGGAGGCAGAGCATCCCCTTTGTTTCCTGTGGACGCCCCGGGTCAGCGGTTCCCAGACTTGGGGGTCTCGGGACATCTGACACTCGTAGGGATCCTTTGTGAGGCTTGTGTCTCTTGATCTTTGATGTAGCGGGATTAGAACACGAGAATTTAAGATTTTACTAATTCACTTAAAAACAAGGAAACATCACATGTTAACATCATAATACTGTTTATGGAAAAAATAACCACATTTTTGAAACAAAACTCGCACAGAAGCGTGGCATTGCTTTGCGTGTCTGTAAATTTTTCTCGAAGACCTTTATTCTTAAGCTGCTTCTGCATTCGATCTGTTGTGGTAAAGGATGTTTAGGAAGGAGCTCTGCACTCCCCCAGGTACACTGTCGGAAAAGAGAAGGGCGTTACCCTAGCTGCGGATGCTCCTTCGCAACCCTGCACTGGGAAGGGCAGTGGTTTCCTGGTGCTCCCAGTGGGTCCTCTCCCTCACAGGCTGCCGCATGGTTCTGGAACACGCATTGGACGTTTGCAGAGTACTCGACCACTGAGTTAGCCGAACTTCCAAATGTTTTGTTTTTCATTCTGTAGTCCCCCCAGTGACATTCATTCACATTATCGTCAGTCTTACCAGAGTCCTTATGGACCTGGGAAGTTGTCGTGCTCGGAGCAGATACAGGTTTTTCACAATTCTGATTTTTCTTGAAAGCTTGAATTTTCCCGTTGACGATAGATACTGCCGTTTTTCTTGACATGATAGACTGAGTTGATTCATTTTATTTTATTTATTTTCTTTTTAAAGATTTTATTTATTTGAGAGAGAGAGTG